AACTAAGAGGTTACGCCACGCAGGCACTACGCAGACGATGACATGGAGCCTGTATGGACCGGAGTTTTCTAGACTTCTCTACACAAGTATGGAACTTTCTAGAATTCTCTAGATTAGTGTGGAGTTGCCTAACCTTTTCTAAACTTGTCTAGAGTTGTATAGAATTCTCTAGACTTGTCTTGAACATTATACATAGTTCTAGAATTGTGTAGAGATTTCTTTGGAGGGTTCTAGACACTTAATCTAGGCCACACATTTGTATACATCTAGAATGTTCTTGTAAGGCCAAAGGCCTATAAATAGGAGGTGGGAGTTCATTTGCTCCTCACCAAGTAACCTAAGTTGTAATCTCCTCTCAAGTAATACAAGTGTTCATACATTCCCAAACTCTCTTGCTCACTTGCCTAATCTCTTCATACACACCCAAGTAAGCAAAACACTTGTCTAGCCTTAGTCTTCACTAAGCTAGCACACTCGGGTAGGCTAACTTAGCGCTTCAAAGGGGCTTGAAAGTGTCTAAGGCCGCACGGGAGCTTGGAAAGGTTCAAGTCCATGATAATTAGTATCAGAGCTAAGGTCGTGAGGCGTCACACCTTGTGTAGAGGAAGCTATGGCGGAGCAATCAGACATGACTAACAACCAAGAGGAGGATCTACATGGAAGGGAAACAAATCTCCCTCCAGTCGGAATGAGGACAAGGGCTAGGTCGAAGGACATCATGGCAGGCTTAGAGGCACGTATGGCAAACATGGAGGGGTCCATAGCCAACGTGTTGGAGCAGCTTGAGGATGTTCACCAACGCATGGATGGGCTGCAATCGGAAGACGCTGAGGTCCAAAATGTTGTCAAATGGTCACTCAATGCCTTAAGTGGTGACTTTCGGCAGGAGCTCCAAGCACTTCGAGAACTTATGTTGGGCGAGTTTGCCACCCTATGTGGCTATGTTGATCAGGAGCTTGGCACCTTCTGCGAGCAAATGGAGGAAATGCGAGCGGACTGGGCATTGTGCAAACGAGCGCTGGCGTCCGGCACGGCTACTACGGGGGTAGTAGCACCCCGTTCGATATTCCTAAGCCTAAGTGCTATGGTGGGAACCGGGTAACGAGGGAGTTGGAGAACTTCCTATTCAATATGGAGCAATACTTTGAGGCTACGGGCATGATGGATGAGACCATCAAGATACACACGGCGACTCACTACCTCACAAACAATGCCATGCTATGGTGGAGGAAGAAGTATGGTGATATGGGCAAAGGTACGGTCTCTATTGATACTTGGGCTGATTTCGTAAAAGAAATTAAGAAGCATTTCTATCCAGAGAATGCCGAGGATGAAGCCAGGGGCAGACTTCGAAAGCTAAAACAGGTTGGGTCGATTCGGGACTATGTGAAAGAATTCACTAACTTGACTCTTGAGATCCCGGATCTATCCGACAAGGACTCTCTTTTCTTCTTCATGAATGGTTTATAGTTGTGGGCTAAGACGGAATTGAGGCGGCGCAATGTGCAAGACCTTGCCATGGCTATTGCAGAAACAGAGTCCTTTATTGATTTCAGCACCAAGAAGGAACCCTCGTCCAAGCCAAAAGACAAGGACAAGGGGAGGTATGCTGGCAAAGGTGGGGGAGACAAGGGTGCTGCACCCCACAAGGATTGGTCCTGTAAGCCAGGTGGTGGCCATGGTGGCAAAGAGGGAAGGGAGAACAAGGAAGGAGCACCCAAGCCTAAGGGTTCTTGCTTCATATGTGATGGACCACATTGGGTAAGAGATTGTTCAAAGTGAAAGACCCTCAATGCCATGACGAGCCATTACGAAAAGCAACAACAGGAGGAAGCACAGATAGGTTCACTGCAAATCCTTAATGCCATCAAGGCTAAAACTGAAGTCCCTAAGGCGAAGGCTAAAGGGCTAATGTTCGTGGAGGCGAACATCAATGGGACACCCACACGTGCTTTGGTGGACACGGGTGCATCCCACAACTTTGTGAGCCTTGACGAGGCCAAGAGGTTGGGCCTCAAGTATAACAAAGAGGGGGGCTCCATGAAGGCAGTTAACTCGGTGGCAAAGGCTATACATGGCGTGGCACACAGCATCTAAGCATGCATTGGCGAGTGGGATGGCCACATAGATCTGTCAGTGGTACCCATGGACGACTTCAAACTAGTCCTTGGGTTAGAATTCTTAGACAAGGTGAGAGCTTTCCCCATTCCTTTGCTAACACTATGTGTATTATGGAAGGCAACACAGCATGCATGGTGCCAGTAGAGCGAGATACCAAGTTGGAAGCCCAAGCCTTGTCAGCCATGCAGTTCAAGAAGGGCTTTAGGAAGGGGGAGACTAGCTATCTTGCTACGTTGATGGAGACACCCGATGATGAGCTAGTCCCTTCCTCGCAAGAAGATGTGCCTAAGGAGATACGAGCCGTGCTAGACGAGTACACAGACGTGATGCCTAAGGAGTTGCCCAAGAAGCTTCCACCTAGGAGAGAAGTGGATCATAAGATTGAGCTGGAACCAGGTTCTAAATCCCCTGCTTTGGTGCCCTACTGGATAGCACCCCTAGAGTTGGAGGAGTTGCGGAGGCAACTCAAGGAGCTGTTAGATGCGGGCTATATTCGACCCTCGAAGGCCCCATATGGCGCACCGGTGCTGTTCCAGAGGAAGAAGAACAGGTCCTTGCGCATGTGCATCGACTACCGGGCGCTCAACAAAGTGACTATCAAAAACAAGTACCCTATCCCTTTCATTGCCGATCTTTTTTATCAGCTTGGTGGAGCACGCTACTTCACTAAGCTAGACTTGCACTCGGGGTACTACCAGGTGCGGATAGTGGACGGGGATGAGCCTAAGACTACATGTGTGACGAGGTATGGCTCTTATAAGTTCCTTGTTATGCCATTTGGTCTCACCAATGCACCTGCTACTTTCTGTACTTTGATGAACAAGCTCTTCCATCCCTACTTGGATTGCTTTGTGGTGGTGTACTTGGATGATATTGTTGTGTATAGCACCACTCTAGAGGAGCACGTACAGCACTTGAGGGCGGTCTTCCAAGTCCTACGGGAAAACGACCTATATGTGAAGACAGAGAAATGCTCCTTTGCCCAAGAAGAGGTGTTGTTCCTAGGGCATAAGATACGGGATGGCAAGCTGATGATAGATGAGGCAAATGTGATGGCCATTCAAGAGTGGGAGCCACCTACTAAGGTGACAGAGCTACGTTCATTTTTTGGGCTTGTCAACTACTACCGTCGCTTTATCAAGGGTTACTCGGCGAGAGCAGCCCCATTGAAAGACTTTCTCAAGAAGGCGCGTGCTTGGAGTTGGACAGAGTCATGCCAGGGGGCATTTGATAACTTGAAGAGGGCAGTCACAGAGTAGCCGGTACTTAGCTTGCCCGACCACTCCAAGCCATATGAGGTGCACACGGATGCATCAGACTTTGCTATTGGGGGCGTGTTGATGCAGGAAGAACACCCCATAGCTTATGAGAGCCGCAAGCTTAATGACACCGAGCGGCGTTGTACGGTGCAGGAGAAAGAGATGACGGCGGTTATCCATTGCCTACGTACTTGGATGCACTACTTGCTTGTGGCACAGTTCGTGATCAAGACTGATAAATGTTGCCACCAGCTACTTCCAGACACAGAAGAAGCTTAGCCCCAAGCAAGCTCAATGGCAGGACTTCCTAGCGGAGTTCACTTATCACTTTGAATACAAGCCGGGCAAGGCTAATGTTGTGGCGGATGCGCTTAGTCGCAAGGCCGAGCTCGCAACTATTAGTCGGCCCCAGCACCCTCTTGTGAAGCGGATCAATGAGGGGTTGCAGCATGACCCTCTAGCCAAAAACCTTATTCAGCTGGCTAAGGAAGAGAAGACTCGGCACTTTTGGATAAGGGATGATTTACTTCTCACGATAGGGGACCGACTCTTTGTGCCCAGGTAGGGCAACTTGTGAAAGGAGTTGATACGGGAGTGCCACGACACCAAATGGGCTGGTCACCCAGGTATACGGCGCACACTAGCACTCCTTGAAGATTCATATTATTGGCCTCGGATGTGCGATGATGTAGAGACATACGTGAAGACTTGTCTTATGTGCCAACAAGACAAGATTGAGCAACAGCATCCCGCAGGCCTACTGGAGCCATTGCCTATTCCAGAGAGACCATGGGAGAGTGTCTCTATGGATTTCATTTCTTGCTTGCCCAAGTCAGAAGGTTGTAGGAGCATTATAGTGGTGGTAGATCGGTTCAGCAAGTATGCCACCTTCATACCTGCACTAGCAGACTGCACAGCAGAGAGGGCAGCAGAGTTATATGTTGACCATGTGGTCAAGCTTTGGGGAGTTCCGCAAAACATTCTCAGTGACAGAGACCCGCGCTTCACGAGTAGATTTTGGATGAGGCTTTTCAAGAAGATGGGAACGGATCTCAACTTCTCTACAAGTTTCCACCCCCAATCAGATGCGCAGACGGAGCGCATCAATACTCTCCTGGAGCTTTATTTGAGGCACTAGGTGAGTGCCAACCAGCGAGATTGGGCCAAACTCCTTGGGGTGGCACAGTTTTCTTACAACTTACAGCGGAGTGAGGCTACCAATCACTGTCCATTTGAGGTTGTTACCGGACGACAGCCTATGACACCCAATACCATTGCTTCGACTTGCGATGGTAAAAGTCTGGCAGCCTACAAGTTTGACAAGAGGTGGCACGAGCAGTCCGACTTGGCTAGGGCGTACCTTGACAAGGCGGCAAAGAAGATGAAAAAGTGGGCCGACACCAAACGAAGGCGGGTGGAGTACATAGTGGGAGACCAGGTGATGGTTAAGTTTCTACCCCAACACTTTAAGTCCTTTCTGAGCGTGCATAAGGGGCTAGTAAGGAAGTACGAGAGCCCGTTCTCCATTGTCAAGTGAGTGGGTAAGGTCTCCTACATGGTGGAGCTTCCACCCAAGTAAAAGATTCATTCAGTCTTCCATGTCAGCATGCTCAAGCCTTATCATGAAGACACGGAAGACCTTACTCGGGGCATATTGCAAAGGGCACCAATGGCAGTTGTAACATCCTTTGACAAAGAAGTTGATTGCATCATTGCGGATCGTGTGATGAGCAGGAGAGGTGTGCCCAAGTATACAGAGTATTTAGTGAAATGGAAGAACCTGCCAGATAGCAAGGCAAGCTGGGAACATGAGGATACACTTTGGCAATTCACGGAGCATTTCCAGCTGTTCAAGCAAGAAGACGCGACGAGGGCGTCGCGAGCTTAGGTGGGGGAGAATGTCACGCCCCGCAACTAAGAGGCTACGCCACGCAGGCGCCACGCAGACGAGCTTTCTAGACTTCTCTACACAAGTATGGAACTTTCCGGATATCTCTAGATTAGTGTGGAGTTGTCTAGCCTTTTATAGACTTGTCTAAAGTTGTATAGAATTCTCTAGACTTGTCTTGAATATTGTACATAGTTCTAGAATTGTGTAGATATTTCTTTGGAGGGTTCTAGACACTTAATCTAGGCCACACATTTGTATACATCTAGAATGTTCTTGTAAGGCCAAAGGCCTATAAATAGGAGGTAGGAGTTCATTTGTTCCTCACCAAGCAACCTAAGTTGTAATCTTCTCTCAAGTAATACAAGTGTTCGTACATTCTTAAACTCTCTTGCTCACTTGCCTAATATCTTCCTACACACCCAAGTAAGCAAAGCACTTGTCTAGCCTTAGTCTTCACTAAGCTAGCACACTCGGGTAGGCTGACTTAGCGCTTTAAGGGGGCTTGAAAGTGTCTAAGGCCGCACAGGAGCTTGGAAAGGTTCAAGTCCGTGACATTAAGCCAAGATGGGGGTGGCCAAAAGATGTGTGAATGGTCAGGAAAATAAGCTAGAGGCTCGCACTTGCCATCCACCGAGCTGAAAACGCCAATGTCCACCCATTGTGGAAGCCATTCATCTTGTTCACCATACCCGTCACAATCCTCAATAAACGAACCTTCGGAAAAATAAATGCAACCCCCGTTCAAACCAGAGAAATCTCGAGCTGAAACAGAATAGGAGAAGGCATCACAAGTAAACAGCACTCGATCACCCAAAGTTCCAACCCTCTCCCATTTCTTTTCGGACTCATTCAGCTTAAAAACTTTCAAGTAAAACTTGTTAAGAGGATCATTGCTGGCTTCTGACTCGATGGGATGCCACATGCAATCACCATCCCACTCGTCAGTGCATTGGTATGTACTTAAATTTTCTTCCTTATCAATCAAAAACAGATCACCACACGATTTCACCAAACGTAGTCTATTGCTACCGGCAGTGTCACTGGCATTATAATGAGGCCCAAGGGATGCAATCGGCTTAACCTTCAAGTCTGAACCAATCACTACAATCCTTCCTTTAGACCCAACAGCATAAAACTGTCCCTTGTGATACACAAAGTCCTGGTACGAATCAGACTCATTCCAACAACCAATTTTGGTCCATTTCTCATCCCCTAACTTGAAAAACCACAACTTTCCATACTGGATTGCCATGATCACGTAATCACCAGCACCAGACCATGGACTCGAGGACACAATCACTTTCTTAAAAAGAGTAGACTCATCATGGTTAAAAGGATAGTGGGATTCCTGATCAATAAAACGAAGACGATAAGCTTTATCTATCTCAGTGATTCGAAAGTCGAGCAAATTGAGTTCTTTTGGAAACGTTTCGGGCATTACCTTTTGAGAGAGAGGATGTAAGGCACGCATTTTGCCATTTTCGATCTCTTCAACCCTAACCAACCAGGAAATAATGGAAATTGAATTGGGAATGGGAGTGTTTGGTTTGGGGTTTTGATTGGGCAGCGGTTGGAGGAGGTAGATGGTGGATTCGTTGAGAGAGAAGTAACCGTCGGGTTTGGCGTTTTGACCTAGGAGACCACGGTTGCGATTGGAGGGGGAAGGAACATGGAGAGGCAGAGGAGGAGGAGAAGGGGGTTTGTTGAAGGGAGGAATTGAGGAACGCCAAGAACCACAGACGGAGCGAAGTCGGAGATTGTGGATGCAAATGTTGAGATATTTCTTTGCGATCAGTGACCAGAGCTCTTTCGGGAGTTGAGATCACTGGACTCTTCTCTCCCTCCCCGCCATTTTTGAGCTCTGGTAGCCAACTGTAGAGTTTATAATGATAGATTCACTGGGGACGGTGGGTGGTCTAACGGTTCCCATTCGAACGTATGTCCATTCGCCTTCTCATTCACTTATATTTACCGCGTAGTTTGACAGGAGGCGCCCAAGGTGTACCATTGTTGGAGCCGTCCACCACCTAATACCTAATTTGCTAGGAATTGAAAAAGATAAATATTTATTTCAAATTTAAAAATAACTAAACTTTTTAGTTTACTTGACAAATAAAAACCGAATCAAAATCACGCTTTGTTTAGAATCAATTATTTTAGGTTTTCAGAAAAGAAATCTGAAATGGAATAGGAATGGGAATTAAAATGAAATTCTATTTATATGTTTGGAACAAATTAGATTTAAAATGGGATTCTGAATAAAAATAATAGATTACCATTTTTGCCCTTATTTAAATAATAAATGAAATATTTATTTTATTGTAAAATATACTCCAAAGTTACAGCAAGAAGATAAATAATGAGAATGATTACATAATGGAACTCTAAAACATCAAATTTATTTTAAAAGAAAAAAAAAACAATTATTAAAGATAATATTGGCTTATATATATATAAATGACTTATCTGTGAATTCTGAAGAATTGGATAATATGATTTTTACTTATAAAATTGTGCTTTAAATTTTTAAGTACACAAATACTAAAGTATTGGATTTCATGACTTTTGGATATAAGTAAAAAAAAATTCAAGGTGGTGGATCAATTGTTAAACGTAGACTTTTTGATTATACAATTTTGTATTGTGGTAGATCAATCTGTTGGGGTATACCAAACAAAAAAAAAAATGGTGTGAAATATGGAGGATTGCAGCAATTGTTTATAGATTTTTCAAACACAAGAATAGAAAAGTAGTGGTAGTGATAGATCAATTTATTAAACACATTTAGATACTGGAGTATACCAAACAAAAAAAATTTATGTGAATTATGGAGGATTGGAGTATGAGTTTTGGTTATAAAATTTTGTATTGTAGATTTTTCAAATATAAGAATACAAAAGTGGTAGTGGATCAATCAGTCAAAGTTCCATAACTTTGAGGATCAATATGTTAAACGTGATTTAAGATACTGAAGTATACAAAAAAAATAAAATAAAATAAAATAAAATTGAATATGGTCAACACTCAGAGGAATATATATATATATATATATACACACACACATTAAAACAACGACGAGGAAGGAAAACGTTACAAATTGAGATATATATTTAATAAGATATGTTTTTAATAAGAAGAATGTTTTAATAGAGAGAAACGTTGGAGGGTTAATTAAGGAAGTATATAATTAATGAATATTTATCGAGTCAAATTCTGTGAAATCCTGGAACAAACCCTTAGGGTGTGTTTGGATAGACAAGGGAGAAAAGAAAAGAAATGATAGTATTAGTTATGAGATAAAAGAAATGAAATGAAATGAAATGATAGTAATAACTTTAATTCGTGTGTGGATATATAGGGGAGAAAAGAAAAGAAAAGATAATTATTCTTGTTTGGATAAGATAGAGAAGAGAAAAGAAAAGAAATGATAGTGACCAAATTACTATCCTATCCTTTCATAACTACTTCACATATTATCCATTTCCAAAATCTCACATAGGACATTTGCAATGTTTCTTTGTGATAGTTCAATACAATGGGTAAAAACAAAAGTAAAAAATAAAAAATAAAAATAATGGATAAAAACAAAATTAGGACATAAATGGAATAATTTTTCTTTATATTGATTTGTGGAGGGTATTTTTGCTATTAAGAATTTACAACTTACTATCCCTCCTTATCTCTCTCTATCTTCTCAAATTAGGAGACAAAACTTATAAGGGATATGGAGGGATAGCTATCCCTCCCTATCTCTCCCTATCCTCTCTTTTCTCTCCAATTAAATTACCCAAACACACTCTCACACTATCCTCTCTTTTCTTTTCTCTCCCTATCCCTCCAAATCAACCCTACCAAACACACCCTTACTCCACCTCTCGTTCCTCTCCTGAATGAAAAAGGAATCTATGAAATGTATGGGTACAATTTGATAATACTATAATTATCAAATTCTATTTGTAATTATGTGGTTTTAAATAAGACAAATCCTGTATCCAAATCCAAATCCCATCAAATTCAGCATTAAAATTTAATTTTATCTCATTTTAGTGACCATAAATATTGAATACATTCTAATCGAGTCAATTTTTTAGTTGAATTTTTATTTGTTTTGTTTGGATTCTGAGAAACTATTTTCTCTGTTTTTTTTTTCTTTTCTTTTTCTTTTTTTACTTTATTTTGTTTTTGATAGTTCTGTTGTCACTCTCAGCCTTAGATGTACTTTATTGTTTTTTTGGTTTATAAAAATTTCCACATTCAAAGTCAAAAGAAAAAGAAAAAGAAAAAATAAATAAATAATTGGCAAAAATACAAAATATTCCCTAAACTATCAAAAATTAGTAAATTACCCTCATTGAACTATAAAAGTGAGCAAGTCAGTAACATGGGTTAAACGGGTTTGTGTTGACCTTAAACGAGTACAACACGATTAACTCGTCTATTTAATTGCATCGTGTTTGAGTTGAGGTGGTTCAACCCGTGTAACTTGTTTATATTCGTTTAATTATAAGTGTCATAAATAAATTATATTTAAGTTCCATAATAACTATCTAAATGTGTATTTTCAGTATTTATTGTTTGATTGAATATTATTAATAATTTAAATAATATAATTTTTTGTTTTAGTAGATAGGTTATTAAACAAATTACACGTACAATTTTTTATTCCAGCAAATAGGTTATTAAACAGGTTATACGTGACATTATTTTATAATCACACGAAGAAAACTCTTTTAAAATGTTGATGTGAACATGAAAAAAATAATGTTCAACATTTTAAAATGAGTAATGATTTATGGATCGAATTTAATTTATGTGAGAGAGGTGATGAGTCCTATCACCTGACGTCATGGTAACTTCACATGATGGACTCCATCACTACAGTCACATAAATTGAATTTAATAATTACCAAATTCGATCATTAAATTATTATTATTTTAAAATGTTACTTTTATACATATAAGTAACCTTTTTTGTGCCCTGGTACCGCCTTTTGTTTAGACCACCTAAACCGGTCATCAAGATAGTCATATTTTGCATTTAAAACAATTAGGCCATTAAAAATGTAAGAACAAACCATTGTGGTGGTGTAGAGATTTTTTCAGTAATTTTACAGATTTTGGATGCGTGCGCATATCAACCCGGCTAATGAAAATCAACATAAAAATTAATTGAAAACACTCCAAATGGTAATTATTTTGAAAATTGAAAACAAACTGTAATTATTTTTAAATTTGAAACACTCCAAATAGATTAGTATGAATCGAATGGGGAAGTCGAACACCCTAGAGTTGGCTTCATCTTCAGAATCTTTTCGTATCAGAGAACAAAAATGGGCAAGAGCGACAGAAGAGTCCAGTGGTCTCAACTCCCAGAAGAGCTCTTGTCACTGATCTCAAAGAAACATCTCAACACTCGCATCCACAATCTCCGTTTACGCTCCGTTTGTCGTTCATGGCGTTCCTCAATTCCTCTCTTCAACAAACCCCCTCCTCCTCCTCCTCCTCATCCTCCTCCTCCTCCTCTGCCTCACCTTGCTCCTTCCCCCACCAATCGCAACCGTCTTGTCCAAGTCCGAAAAGCCAAACTCGACGGGTTCTTCTCTCTCACCGAAACCACCATCTACCTCCTCCAACCGCCCAATCAACAAAACCCCAAACCAAACACTCCAATTTCCATTCCCTGGTTGGTTAGGGTTGAAGAGATCGAAAATGGCAAAAAACGTGCCCTACATCCCGTCTCTCAAAGGAAAATGCCCAAAAGGTTTCCGAAACAACTCAATTTGCTCAACATTCGGATCACTGAAATAGGTAAAGCTTATCGTCTTCGTTTTATTGATCCAACCGAGGAAGAGGAGGAAGAGGAGCCCTACCATTTTTGTAATGATGATGATGATGATTCTACTCGTTTTGAGAAAGTGGTTCCGTCCTCGAGTCCGTGGTCTGGTGCTGGGGATTATGCGGTCATGGCCATCAAAGAAGGAGACTTGTGGTTTTTCAAGTTAGGAGATAAGAAATGGACCAAAATTGCTTGTTGGAAGAAATCTTTTTCTTACGATGACTCTTACCATGACTTTGTGTATCACAAGGGACAGTTTTATGCAGTTGGGGATAAAGGAAGGATTGTAGTGATTGGTTCAGACTTGAAGCCTAAGCCGATTGCATCTCTTGGGCCCCCTTATGGCGGTGACGATGACGATGACAAAAGACTACGTTTGGTGAAGTCCTGTGGTGATTTGTTTTTGATTGATAAGGAAAAAAATATTAATATTGGCCTTTACAATGAGTATGAGGTTGAAGGAAATGACATGTGGGATCCCATCGAGTCTCTAGCAATGGATGATCCTCTGAACAAGGTTTACTTGAAAGTTTATAAGCTGAATGAGACAGAAAAGAAATGGGAGAGGGTTGGAACTTTGGGTGACCGAGTGTTGTTTGCTTGTGATGCCTTCTCCTATTCTGTTTCGGCTCGACATTACTCTGGTTTGAAAGGGGGTTGCATTTATTTTTCCGACGGTTCGTTTATTGAGGATAGTGGAGGATATGATGAAGAAGATGAATGGTCTGCCGAAACTGCAGACACTGGCGTTTTCAGCTTACTGGATGCCAAGTGCGGGCCTCTAGCTTCTTTTCCGGACCATTCTCAGATCTTTTGGCCACCCCCACCTTGGCTTTAGCCAATATCACGTGCCATCAAGAAAGGAATGTAAGTCATTCTCAACATCTAAATTTAAATACTTTGGAATTGAAGGAAGATTCATTTAATGTTGCCTTTGGGAATTTTGAACTAAATTGTACTTTAATGTTATCTATTTTTTCACCAATACTATTCCATGGTCCCAAACATGGCATGAAATGCATGTTGTCATTATGTGGTGAATGCGAACACTTATGTTCATTATATCATATGCACAAAAGTAATAATGTTTTTATAGGGTAATATGATTCACATGTCAAAGACCAGCTGTATTTCAGGGCATATCAAATTTGGTGTAAACTAGGAATGTATTTGTGGTTGGAGTTCTCTCTCATCAGTTTTAACTTTAGGTACTTCTAACGGTAGGAAATTCTATATTCATACATATTATGGTTTTCAAGTGGTTTAATATATGATAGTCAAAACGGAACAATGTAAGATTAATACTATTTTTTCCTTCTTTTATCAACCAAACATGCTGGGAGATTAACACTACCATTTTCTTCTTTTCTTTTCTCTCGTGATCAATGTTATTTTCTCTCTCCCATAATACCAAATACAACCTTAGTTGGTCAATTGATTTTCATGATTTGAACTTGTGGTCTTAGGATAGCAAATTCTCCTTCCATACATAGAATGGTTTTCAAGTGGTTAATATGCACAATATGGATGCGTTGGTCAAAAATTTTAGTTTATTTTCTTATCTCTAGGCAGATTAGTGGGGTCATTAGAGTAGATTAAATAAAGGGTTGAAATTAAACCTTTTTTAGAGGAATCCTAGGATCTTAAAAGGTACTTGTTCCAGTTTTTGAACGACTTGTTGAGTATTGTTAATAAAATTCAGTATATCATCATCTCAATACTTTCAAGTTTTAATGTGAATGCTGGAGACTTCCTCTCTGCAATAGTTATAGATGGCTTACAAATCCAGTAATCCTACATTCTGTGATCTGCAATTGCTCAATTTCTCATTAAATTTTTCCATTATCTACCGTTTTTTGTGTAAATCTTCATGAAAAAAAGTCTCTGGTTTGTCCTTTGTAGCATGTTCAGATGATTATACTTGGAAACACATGAAAGAGCGTTATACTACTTGATTAAGTGTCCCAAAAAAATCACGTAAATGCCATTAATTGAACCTCAATTATAAAATTGACAGTCTAATGGACAAAACGAGGAGTATGTCTGGGATTCATGCTTAAAACCTTCTACTTCTTTCTTCATTTGGGGTACACATTTTAAAGTGCTCGTCTTTGTCAACCAAAAGGTATGTGCACTTAGAAGAAGAGTCTGGCAGCATTCAAGTTTAGGTGGGTTTTGGGTCCTTTTGTGTTGTATTAGTAAATTAACTTATGAACTCAATTGCATTAAACTTTTCTTTTAATTACTTTAAACCTGTTTTTTTCCTTGATAGTTATTTTTTAACTTGCGGTTTCACTTATAAAAATTAGGTTGTGCATTATCATTTAGTCGACAACAAATTTTCTATAGTTTTTTTCAGCACAAATATCTTATCGCAAGTATTTCCTTACAAGACATCTATTTATTCATCACCACCTTGCTGGAACATCCTTTAAAGTGCTGCACATATTGCCTTTGTGGCATGATATTGAATATATGACCTAAAATATGAAGTTTTACGTATTAGTAAATTAACTTATGAACTCAATTGCATTAAACTTTTCTTTTAATTACTTTAAACCTGTTTTTTTCCTTGATAGTTATTTTTTAACTTGCGGTTTCACTTATAAAAATTAGGTTGTGCATTATCATTTAGTCGACAACAAATTTTCTATAGTTTTTTTCAGCACAAATATCTTATCGTAAGTATTTCCTTACAAGACATCTATTTATTCATCACCACCTTGCTGGAACATCCTCTTTTAAAGTGCTGCACATATTGCCTTTGTGGCATGATATTGAATATATGACCTAAAGTATGAAGTTTTACGTATAAAATGTTGTACAGGGCTTTCTCTGCTTATGCATATGTTTCTGATTTAGTTTCTGAAACTGTTTATCGCCAAACCTTTTACGTTGGTGATGATACAAAGGGTGACCATCAGTATTTTTTATTCTTAAGGATTACATTAGTTATTCTGTTAACTATTTTTCTTCTCATTTGAATGATCTTTTAGCTGCCGCCGAAGAGTTGGAAATGTTAAAGATAACCAAAATTAATTGGAGAATCGTTTGAAAATATTACAATTCTAATAGCATCTTTTTTACATGATCTTTACAGGGTGAGTTGTGAAGGGACTTTTTGCACTTCTGGAGATGGTAAAGCTTCTAAGATGTGATTCATCAGTTCCTCTTTTTGGTATCAATGACTATTGTTTACATTTGCTTTTTGAAAATCATGTAAGAAGCTGTGATGTAGGTCAGGATGATGGAAAATTTCGGTGAAAAGTCGAATATTGAAACACTGTAATCTATTATGCAACACAAAAAGGAATGGCAATTGGAGTTGCCTAGTTAGTAGAAAGGATACTTGGAATTTCATTTACCCTCACGGGTTAGCTCAACTGGTAAGGCCTTTGGAGCACTCTCTTTTAGTCTCCGGTTCGAGACCACCAAAGGTCAGGCCTTGACTTAAACGATGCACGTGATTTGTAGACGATTGTGTGCATCCCAAGTTTGCAAACTATTTGAGAATTCAAAATTCAAAGTGACTAGCGGAGTTATTAGATTCTTGGTTATTAAAAAGAATTCTCAAGAATAGTGCACACTTGAAGAGCCATTAACTTGTGTAGGGCCTCATGCAAGAAATCCCCACCGTATAGATAGTAAAAAAAATATTAGTACAAAAGATGCAGTCCCAGTAAGCCTCTCTCTAGTAATAACGAGTGTCTATTATGAGAGTGCCCTGAGTTGCATATAAATGAGTCCAGGTGTAGACGGCCATTGGCATCAAAGGTTTTGGATTATTTTAATGGAGTATTATTAGAGAATTTATTATTTAGATTCTTTTCAGTTTCTTCATTTATTATTTAGACTCGACTGATTAACAGATATATTATATTTTTACATAATATTTAAATAGTAATAATATAATATATGGTACACTTTTATACCACATTTGAACAACAATGATGTCACGTGATGGATTTCATAACCACACTCATCACCACACTTACATAAGTTAAAATGGGTAAATGTCGAATTTGATTTTTAAATTATCATTCTTTTAAAATGCTACTTTATGCCACTTTTTGTGCCCTGGTACCTCGTTTTGTTTAGACTACCTTGAAAGTTCAAATACTGATCACCAGTAATCAAGATAGTCATATTTTGCATTTAAAACAATTAGGCCATTAAAAGTGTAAGAGCAAACCATTGCGGTGGTGTAGAGATATTTTCAGTAATCTTATAGTACTACGTAATAGATATTGAGTGCGGTATCTAGTTGGGCTAATAAAAATTAATTATCTGAGGAATTTTAGAAAGAGAAGTAATAGATCTTTCTACTTTAATTATTGACTATTTTGAGTATAACGTGGTTGGGAGTGACTCGAACAAAAAGAGATGTTTACAAAAAAAATTTTAAGAGTTTTAATGGGATCCAACCATCAGACAATTAATGTCGAAAGAGTTATTATTTTTCTTTTAAAAAAGTAGGTGAGACTAATTTCGTATAATGATACTACGTATATTTCTATTGATTTGACGTGGCATGCCCGGTACGGAATATCTTATTCAAGAATAATTGGAGCGTCATTATTGCTGATTAATTTTAACAAATGGTACTGTAATTATTTAGAAAATTGCAAAACAAACTGTAATTATTTTGAAATTTGAAATTACTCCAGATAGATTAAGTTTGAATCGAATGGGAAGTTGAACGTTGATCATTAATTAGGTCACAGAAACCCTAGAGTTGGCCCCATATTCGGAAACTTTTCGTATCAGATAACAAAAATGGGCAAGAGCGACAGAAGAGACCAGTGGTCTCAACTCCCAGAAGAGCTCTTGTCACTGATCTCAAAGAAACTTCTCAACACTCGCATCGACAATCTCCGTTTTCGCTCCGTTTGTCGTTCATGGCGTTCCTCAGTTCCTCTCTTCAACGAACCCCCTCCTCCTCCTCTTCTGCCTCTCCTTGATCACTACCGTCGTGTCCTAGGTCGGAACGCCAAACGTGACGGTTTCTTCACTCTCACCGAAACCACCATCTACCTCCTCCGGCCGCCCAATCAACAAAACCCCAAACCAAACACTCCAATTTCCATTCCCTGGTTGGTTAGGGTTGAAGAGATCGAAAATGGCAAAAAGCGTGCCCTACATTCTGTCTCTCCAAGGAAAATGCCCAAAAGGTTTCCGAAACAACTCAATTTGCTCAACATTCGGAGCACTGAAATAGGTAAAGCTTATCGTCTTCGTTTTATTGATCCGCCCAACGATTATTTTAACGATGATGATTCTATTAGAGTGGTTATGTCCTCGAGTCCATGGTCTGGTGCTGGTGCTGATGATTATGCTTTCAATATGGAAAGTTGTGGTTTTTCAAGTTAGGAGAAGAGAAATGGACCAAAATTGGTTATTGGAAAAAGTGTGATTCGTACCAGGACATTGTGTATCACAAGGGACAGTTTTATGCAGTTGGGGATAAAGGAAGGACTGTAGTGATTGGTTCAGACTTGAAGCCTAAGCCGATTGCATCTCTTGGGCCTCGTTATGGCGGTGATGGTGACTTTCACAAAAGGCTACGTCTGGTGAAGTCCTGTGGTGATATGTTTTTGATTGATGAGGAAGAAAATATTAATATTGGCCTTTACAATGAGTATGGGGACGAAGGAAATGACATGTGGGATCCCATCGAATCACTAGCCATGATGGATGATCCTCTAAACAAGGTTTACTTAAATGTTTATAAGCTGAATGAGACAGAAAAGAAATGGGAGAGGGTTGGAACTTTGGGTGACCGAGTGCTGTTTGTTTGTGATGCCTTCTCCTATTCTGTTTCGGCTCGAGATTTCTCTGGTTTGAAAGGGGGTTGCATTTATTTTTCCGATGGTTCATTTTCTGATGGTGGTGGAGGATATGTTGAAGAAGATGAATGGCGTGCCGAAACTGCAGACACTGGCGTTTTCAGCTTGCTGGATGCCAAGTGCGGGCCTCTAGCTTCTTTTCCGGACTATTCTCAGATCTTTTGGCCACCCCCACCTTGGCTTTAGCCAACATCACGTGCCATCAAGAAACGGATGTAAGTCATTTTCAACATCTAAATTTAAACACTTTGGAATTGAAGGAAGATTCATTTAAATGTTGCCTTTGGGAATTTTGAACAAAATTATCTAACTTTAATGCTGATCTATTTTTTCACCAATACTATTCCATGGTCCCAAACATGGCATGAAATGCATGTTGTCATTATGTGGTGAATGCGCACACCTATGTTCATTATATCATATGCACAAAAGTAATAATGTTTTTATAGGGTAATATGATTCACATGTCAAAGACCAGCTGTATTTCAGGGCATATCAAATTTGATGTAAATTAGCAATGTCAATGTATTTGTGGTTGGAGTAATCCTACATTCTGTGATCTGCAATTGGCTCACATTCTCATTGAATTTCTCCATTATCTACCGCTTTTGTGTAAATCTTCTTGAAAAAAAGTCTCTGGTTTGTCCTTCGTAGCATGTTCAGATGATTATACTTAGAACACATGGAAGAGCATTATACTACTTGATTAAGTGTCCCAAAAAAATCAAATAAATGCCATTAATTGAACCTCAGTTATAAAGTTGACACAGTCTAATAGACAAAACCAGAAGTATGTCTAGGATTCGTGCTTAAAACCTTCTTCTTTTTTTCATTTGGGGTACATATTTTAAAGTGCTCGTCTCTGTCAAAAGGTATGTGCACTTAGAAGAAGAGTCTGGCAGCATTCAAGTTTAGGTGGGTTTTGGGTCCTTTTGTGTTGTATTAGTAAAGTAACTTGTGAACTCAATTGCATTAAACTTCTTCTTTTAATTACTTTAAACCTGCTTTTTTCCTTGATAATTATTTTTTAACTGACGGTTTCACTTATAAAAATTAAGTTGTGCATTATCATTTAGTCGACAGCAATTTTTCTCTAGTTTTTTTGAGCACAAATATCTTATCGTAACTATTTCCTTACAAGACATCTATTTTTTCTTCGTCACCTTGCTGGACATCCTCTTTTTAAGTGTTGCACATATTACCTTTGTGGCATGATATTGAATTCTCTGCTTATGCATATGTTTCTGGTTTAGTGTCTGAAACTGTTTTATCGCCAGACCTTTTAAGTTGGTGATGATACAAAGGGTGACCATCAGTATTTTTTATTCTTAAGGATTACATTACTTATTGTTTACCAGTATGGAAAATTCATTTCTGTTAACGATTTTTCTTCTCATTTGAATGATCTTTTAGCTGCCCCAAAGAGTTGGAAATGTTAAAGATAACCAAAATTAATTGGAGAGTCGTTTGAAAATATTACAATTCTAATTGCATCAGTGTTTACATATCTTTACAGGGTGAGGTGTTAAGGGACTTTTTGCACTTCTGGAGATGGTAAAACTTCTAAGATGTGATTGAAGAAGATATGCACGGGCTTACTAATATTGTGTAAATTACATTTGCTTTTTGAAAATCATGTAAGAAGCTGTGATGTAGGTCAGGATGATGGCAAATTTCGGTGAAAACTCGAATTCTGAAACTCTGTAATCTATTATGCAATGCAAAAAGGAATGGAAATTGGAGTTGCCTAGTTCAGTAGTTAGTAGAGAGGATATTTGGAATTTCATTTAGCCCTCACAGGTTAGCTCAACTGGTAAGACCTTTGGAGTACTCTCTTTCAGTCTCCGGTTCAAGACCCACCAAAGGTCAGGCCTTGGCTTAAATGATGCACGGGATTTGTGGACGATTGTGTGAACTCGGAGTGAGAGTTCGAACTTCAAAGTGACTAATGAGGTGATTGGATTCTTCGGTATTAAAAATAAATAAATAAATAAATAATCTCGAGAGTAGTGCACAGTTGAAGAGCTTGTGTAGTGCCTCCGCAAGAAATACCCGCCATATAGATAGTAAAAAAAACAACCAATACAAAAGATGGAGACAGTCCGAGAGATAAACCAAAACATAAGCCTCTCTTTAGTGATAATGAGTGTGTAGTAACCCAAAATCTTTTCCCGAACTATGATGCATTTGACTTGAAGTACCGCGCTTTATCATACTTTTCTTTACTAAATCTGTTTGTGTTAACTTTGATCTTCTTCCTTTTAACATTGTCATCACCAACGGGCCAATGAACTAGTGTAAAGGCATGTGTGTGTGAGGATCAATTAAAAAAAAAAAACATCGTCATCAATTTGGACTATGTCACTATTTCTAACTAGCACACTTGGTGATCTTTTATGCAACTTCAATGGAAAAGCAGGACAAAACTTTTTATCATAAATACAAGAAAAACAAAAGCATCATTGTTCTTTATTTAGATGCATGTTGTGTAACACCGCCTGTATTAATTGTAATTAGATGCATGCTGTGTAACACAAACCTGTATTAATTAATTAATTGCTTGTATCAGCAAGCCATAACTCATTCCACTTGATATGTAATGGCGGGTATTAAGCAATACGATATATACATGACCAGGGCGCAAATGAAGTATGAAACCTTTTTTCAAATAAATCTAGTTCGCCATCGCCGGAATGTTTATTACAATTACAGTTCATTCACATAATTGAAGAATAAAGGAGATCGCTTCACATTAATGTTAAAGGAAATCAATATGAATCAAGCAACACCTTCCAATATGCATTTTCTGCAAAATGCAAAAATACTTCCCACAAACTCGTAGTGTATTCTAGTA